GTTAAAACGTGATACGTATCACGTTTTAACAAGATACGTATCACGTTATAACGTGATAGCGCTCGGATTTTTTTTTCCTGCCTGATAGCAACACGCTTCCGTAATAAAAGTAACATTCACTGACTTCCACAATGTTTTCTCTTCATTTCTTTGAGTGCTCCTGAAGGTCAACAAGTTGCACTTTGGAATGACCTTATTATTGTATCATGTTTTTGATCTGAGTTTGTTTTACAGAATGAAGTGTCTGAATGAGTGCTCATCCAAGACTGGTGACTCCATACTTTTTGCCAGGGGTTGTATACAATATGACAGAGTGGTGGGTGTAGCTTTAGAAAACACACCTGCAGTGAGGTGATGGAGGCAGCGTGTCCYTCCAGGACGGCCAAGGGGGCGCAGGTTTGCAAGCACCACACTCTGATGGTCTTGTCGCAGGAGCCGGCGGCGATCATGGTGTTCTCGTAACTGACGGCCATGTCGGAAATCTCGGCAGCGTGGCCGCGCAGGGTCGCCAGCAGACGCCCGTCGTCTGTTCCCCAGATCTTCACCAGGCAGTCGTCCGAGCCCTGGGAAGGAAAGAGAGCAGCACGTTTACCGGAAGAGTCGTGTCTGAGACGGTTACACGTGCTCAAAAGAGGCATCGAGCACATCTGGGAGCTCCAAGAGTTCAAATAGCTTAGATCATTTAAGACAAATAAGACAGAATGAGATTAAAAAGTAGGGAAAACAAGACGCTATTAATATTGTAAAGCTCAACATCATCAGTGCATTTACACAAACAGGATAATTATTACTGCTGAAGAGACAAACGCTTCAAATTGTATGAAAAGATAATCATTACGATGTCAAACTGCATTTTAATGATGGACAAAATAAGATCAGGCACTGCCAAATTAACATGCAAAAAGAGTCAGAATACGCTCCTGTGAGGGACTAAATTCTAAAACCATGTTTTGTTTTGTTTTTTCATTTACCCTGTAAAGAAGTCTACTGGCCAAACTGGTACTGACAGAAGTGGTATTTACATATCAGGGCAGACAGGTTAGTTGATATGTTGATCTGGATGTTTTCAGTTTCTCCTTAGATTTAATAAAACTGAATCAAACTGGATGAATTTACGTACGTCGAATACAGATGTCAGGATATGGCATTTATAGCAAAGGGCAAAATTAGATGGGGAACTTCTTGAAAAAAGCAATTACAGCAAAGAAGATAAACGCATGCTTCGAGAGAAAAAAGCTACAGGGGAATTTATTAAAATGATAATGCAGCATTTAAAAGAATTTGTCAGCCTGGGGCCGGTTTTTACAACATTCTTTAGTCTCCACAGAAGATCAAGAGGCTCGATGCAGACACGAATGTTGCTTTGGTGTGACTCAGTTGCTGATTTCCTGGCCTTTGCTGGGGGTTCAAAATGTTCCTGATTCAACGCGGTGCCACATCCATTTCTGCTTTAAGATCTCAAATAAATTTGAAGTACAACAATTATTAAGATTCAGCTCGTTGATGTAAATGTCAGAGATTTAATTAAAAATCATGCTGAGAAAAGACAGGGTTGGAGCAAGTTTGGGAAAAACCCTGAAAGAAAAAAAAAACATTTTGTGAACTCTCTTGCAATTTCACAAGATGTTACCCTCAGAGTATGTGTTGTAAATTACTCTCAGTTACTAGGGCTGTGTATTGGCAAGAATTTGGCGATACGATACATATCATGACAGAGGGGTCACGATACGATATATCCCGATATATTGCGATACTGTAAGCAAGGCGATATATTGCGATTTTTTTTGTCCAAAAACTCTTTTAAATAAAAACCTCTTACAGGGAAAAAAATGAAAAACCAAAATTCATTTTCTCATAAAATTCTAATATTACATAGACATACTTTTGATACATTTAGCTGTGTTCTGCTTTGTATGTGTTTTATTTTATTTATTTCATATTTCTTATTTCATCCATGTTTTCAATTATTAAACTAAATTTGACAATAAATAGTTTGAAAATATATTTTTTGCATCTTTTAGTTTTTAATATTAATTTACAATATGGTCACCCAACATTTAACAATAGCCTCGACCTCAAGAGGTAGAGGAGCCAAATGGCTGGCTCACTGCTGCCAACTAGTGGTCAGAGGCTGAACTACAACATAAAAATGAACGGTTGGCAGGAAAGTTGACACTTTAAACCTTAATTAAAAATCGATACAGGGCTTTAGAATATCGATACAGTATCTGGAAATGAAATATCACGATATTTCAGTGTATCGATATTTTCTTACACCCCTATCAGTTACTACTACACCAAACTTTTGACTGAGTTGTAGTAATTTCTGTGTTGGTTAAAGTCAATCAGTTGTCAAATGGTTCAGGAAATATTTTGCTGACAAACAAGGTTGACTCCAACAGGTAATGCCAGGGAGTACGTGTTGTTTTATGAGTCCATGCAGTGATRTCTGCAACAGAATTAGTTTTTTGTGAAGATCACAAGCACCTTTAAGGATTTCAGCTCTGTCGAATTTTCCTTTAAGAAACATGATTCATAAACTGTTCCACCTTTATGATTTTTCACATTGTAGTGAACCTCTGCTCATCACTTCTTTTAAGAGCTTCACCCTAAAATGCTCTTTTTACACCCAGTCCTCTTCCTGGCCTATTGCCAGTTAACCTTATGAGGCGCAGATCCTAAAACCTGGAGAAGAGCTGCTTTAGCTTTGTGCCACTCCACAGCTGAATAATCTGCTCTTGTTTGGTGCAGATCCACTCATGCTAAAAAAAAATCAGATCCCAAGCTCAATGAACCTAATTTCCCTCTGGGATCAATAAAGTATTTTTGAATTGAATTTGAATTGAAGCCTGTTGCATCATAACAGGCACCTCTAGCTCCAACAAGATTCACACAGATTATCTTGTTATTGTTTCATCTGCAATACAAAGAGAGACAATCAATAACATTGATAAAGGAAATGACTCTCAGCACCCATTATTTGTCTATACACCAGCCAAGGTACATTTAATATCCACGAGTTTTTTAACATCAACAAGTTTACCAATAAACATAACCCAGGAAATACAGAATAAATTAACAAAAATAGTTGGAACAACCAACCATAGAGCACCCAACCAACCCGAAACCTTGGGAACATTTGACTAAAGGAAGTAGACTACAGAAAAACAAATGATGTGCCCTGAATCGGGCAAGAACTGGTGTCAGAAAGACCTAAACCAACTTGGTAAAATGGGGAATAGCTAGGACTGAAGTCTGTGAATGTAGTCACCAAATCCAGAAGATTCCTGAACTTTAAGTCTGATACAAACAACACCTGCAAATCTCTGTCAGCTAAACAACAGAGCAAAAACATGGTTGACCTTATTAGCTACAAAAAACATCCTCCAGCTGTTTTTTTTTATTTACACCACTTATTTTTACAGCCTTTTGCTGCTCCTGTCCTGTCTTATTGAGCTGTGTTCCTATTACCATTTTTATTACTAAATATAATTTCTTGTTTATTTAAACATGTGATGTGTTTACAATGTTCCATTGTGAATAAAATATGGGTTTACATGATTTGCAAATCATTACACTCTGTTTTTATTTACATTTTACACAATGTCATGGCTTTTTCTGAATTGGGGTTGAAGAATATTGGTACAGATTTTATAGAGGAAATGTGCTTGTATAATTGCCAGCAGACCAGATTGGAAATGAAGCGATTAGACAAATAAATGCTTTTACTAAACAGACAAAAAAAGGTGATAAGCTGAAATAAAATTTGTTCCTCAGGTTCCAGAGATCTCATCTATTGTTACAGATGCTTTCATTCCACAATGAATCATCTTAATTTGTCATTTTCAATAAGCTGTGATCGATTTCTAGGCTTTATTCTACAAATCATTACATTTTTCTGTGAATCAATTGTTCAAACAAAACTACATGCAGTTGCTCATTGAATACAATTAGTGTTTCTGCTGAACACAATAATCCTTCAACTAACGTGAACACTGCAGAAAAGTCAAAGAGAAAAGGCTGAAAAGAGCCAAAAATAAGAAAATATATAATAAATGTTATCTTGTGATGAAAAAGGACAGCAAGGGAAGAAAACAAAATGAGTACAGACAGAAGGGGGAAAAAACGGAGGCAAAAAAAAAAAAAGAATTTTAATCGTGGCACTTAGCCAACTCCTCAGAGGAAACATTTTCTTCTGTTATGATGAGAAATAACAGGAAGAGGGAGGGAGAAGAGATGATAGACGGATAGGAAAAACGAGGTAACGCGGGATGATGAAGAATTAGAAAAAARGTGATTTCAGAGGCCTCCTCCCTCACTCACAGCAGCCAGCCATTTTTAGAGATTTAAGGCGTCAACGCCGGAAATGGTGTCGAACAGCAGGTTGTGTTTAACTCAAAGACAGCAAACAGAAATAAATATGTTGATATTTCCTCAGTGTTGAAAGAGGTTTTATATTTAAATATGTGTCACGGCTACACAACAGGCAGTCTGCACGCAAAGGCAGTACACAGGCGAAGTTCAGCTTCCTTCTTTTCACACTGGTTGTGTTTCTCTTTTTTCTCTTTATGATTATTCCCTCTGATGCTTTCTTCTGCATCTTACAGCTGTCAATCAGAGTCCAACCTTTTGCAATCCCTGAAAAATAAACAGTAATTACCTCCAACCAGAACCGTTTCAGCGTGTAATACAGCTGCTTTATGTCTAGTTAGGAGTTAACTCTAAATGAGCACAGAGTGATTAATATCACACCCCATCCTTACTACAATCGTTCTCTTCAGACACCGATACTGATGGATCCCAGCTGATCAAACACTTTAAAACAATCAGGATAGGGGGAATCTATTTCTCTTGCGTTGTATCAGATTCTATATCGAATTTCAAAAGTCAAAATTCAATTTTGTTAACGCTAATCTGTGCTGCTACTTAAGACAGTCAGCTGAGTAGTTCCTGCATGGTACTGTAATTGTTTCTCCACTAAAATCTGAAAAAATCTCCATCTAGTACACATTTAACCCTAAACCTTGGTCCTAAACCAAACATCCAACCCAAAAAGGGAGTTCTAACAAATCTGACCAGTTTTCAGTCCCCATAAGGACTTCTGGTCTTGACAAGGTGGGTGTGTGTACCAGAAATGCTCCTAAAAAGGTAACAAATACAAACACAGATCTGTGCAAAAGCTGCAGCCTTACCGTGAAGATGCGCCGCCCCGTCCGGTCGAAGGTTACACAATACACCGACGACAGATGTCCCAGAATCCTCTTGTGCATTTTCATGTGCTGGTACACGGCTGTGGGCAGCAGCTGCCGCAGACGGTAGGAGCCGTTCAGCCGACGACTGTAACACGTCTCCACTGGTGGTTTTAAAAGGATAAAAGGACATTGCTGATTTGACTCGTGAACTAAAGAGAGGCACAGGCTTTCTTTACAAGCAATAAGTTTTGTTTTACCAATATTGGGTGGGCTCCCGTAAATAATCGGTGGCTCTGGGGGTCTTCCACAGTGCAGCGCAGCCAACGCTGAACCCTTCCACACAACATGTTTGCAGCCTGGGAGGAAACGAGAAGCAGACTCGTTCGTCACACCTGTGCTTGCTTTACCTGCGTTTGTTGGTTTGAGAAAGGAGCGTTCGCTCACTCTTGCTGGTGCGGAGGAGGTTCTGTCTGCCAGCCCCCAGGAGGCTGGTGAGTCCAGGCATGCTGGCGGGAACCTCCCTCTCCAGCAGCGGACAAACTCTGGAGCATACCTGCAGCAGGTGGTCGGGACTGATGTGTCTGTAGAGCTTCACCTAAAGCCAAACAAAACACCAAGAATGTAATCATTCCTGTTCAARACCAAGATCAGATTACTTACATATGTTCACTTTATTTAATCTTTATTTGTTTTGCTTCAAACCAAACAGTTGATTTAGTTCATTTTTTATTCTCAGTRTAATTAAGAAAAACAGAAACGTCTTGAACAGATCGACTTGGAAAGAATCTAGAATAACTGGAGGATTTCTGTCTTCTTATGTGCAGCTGGACAGGAAATTGAGGATCTGAAAACCTGGCGAGAGTACAGAACGCTGAAAGATTAAAAATTTAAAAAGCCTTTTTTTTGTAGCACAGCTGGTTTCAAAAAGTACCTATTTGTTATAAATTAACAATGACGTTTCATATAAGCCAGGAAACACTTCTGTAATCCAGACAAAAAGTGAATAATTTAATCTTTTTCCAGACATTTTGAAGGAACATTTAGGTCCAACATACTGAGCTTGCAATGCTAGTTTTCTGACTAACATTAGTAACTCTCCTAAACCACCAGAAATACACAGTGTTTCATCTAACTCCAGCCAAACTGCTTTAACTGCAGAAATGAGAACCTTGCACATGAGAATAATTATGATTATAATTATGATTTTAGGTTGCATCTTAGGGAGGACTTCTTTTTATACAAACATGTGAAAAGCTCTAATTTCTTTGCCTAATTCTGAACAGGTTTGTTTTCTTCTACAGAACTCTTCTTTCCTTTCCTGTCCTACAAACAGGGATAAAAATTCCTTCACAATGCAACAACTGTAGTTTTATATAAGTGTTATCTTCAATTAAAGGGTTTAAACAGAGAAAAAATATCTCTTTCAAACATAAAGCTTGTAGAAATCTGTTTTAAACATCAATCCTTCTCTGTCCAGAAATGTCTTCACACACTGACTGAAGTTTTTGATAAGATTGGGACTTTGTTTTGCATTTTTATCTCCTGTTCTTTAAGTCTAACACATGACTGCAGCTTACATGAAACTACGGTGTGGACTTTTGTTTCTCTATAAACGACACATCTTACAGTAAAGCTCAATACATGTCGTGCAGACTTGCTCTGCTTCACCTGGGTGTTGTGCATCAATGCAGGTGTTATTATAAAGAACTTGACTCTGTGGGACTAATGTACTTGTACATATCTCAATACACAAACAACTTAATCTGCAGTACTACCACTAACTTTAAAACTAATGGCAACAATGGGACACAGCTGAGTACATTTAACCTGCCTGAGCTTGGATTAAAATAAAAATAAAAGGCTAATAAATACATAAGCTAACACAAGTAAGGACACAATGAATGCGTGAATGTAGCTGTCTTGAAAAAGAAAACTTCCTAAATAGCTCTGTAAAATTACTTTAGATTCACTGTAAGAATCTGAAGACAACTGCTAAAGGTATTTGAGAAAAAATGATGAAGTCAGGATTTGAGTAAAAATTTACAGCTCATCGTCTGGACAAAATGTCATCAAACTAATTATCCAGGTTTAAATAAAACATATGAAGCTGGTGTAATCTGGTTAACAATGAGTTGGACTGATTGTTTAAAATAAATTATATCAACTAATACAGGGGTTCTCAAGCCATTTGGGTCTGGGGACCCCTTACGAGGGCGAAAAAATTCCTGGGACCACCTCATAAACCTCTAAAAGATAAGTTATTGTCATTTCAACCCCAAAATGCCATGGGAATATATATTTTTATTAAGTTCATTATGTTTGTTTTATTGGTTCATTGTTCTCCATGCATTTTTAAAAATAAAAACCAAATTAACAATTTTGTGAATTTTTTTAGGACCACTAAGATAC